TCTCGACCAACATGTACAGGATTTAAGACAGGTGTTTTCTTTATTAAATGAGGCCGGTCTAAAAGTTAATGTCGAAAAGTGCAAATTTGCAGCCCCTGAATTAAAATATTTAGGTTACAAAATATCTCAGAAAGGAATCGAGACAGACGAATCAAAAATAATCGCTGTACAAAAGTATCCGACTCCAAACACGGCAAAGAAGCTCTCTTCTTTTCTAGGACTTTGTTCATATTATAGGTCCTTTATAAAAGATTTTGCAGCTATTGCTGAACCATTGTTAAAATTAAAAAGGAAAAAGGCAAGATTCTCGTGGACGGCCGAAGCCAATAGTGCTTTCGAAAAATTAAAACAAGCATTAACGCAAGCCCCTGTGTTGAAATTTCCTGAAAAGGATGAGAATTTAGAAATTTCAGCGGATGCTTCGGATTATGCGGTAGGAGCGGTACTTTCGCAAAATCAGCAGCCCGTGGCATTTTTTTAGCCGAACTTTAAATCAAACACAAAGAAACTATTCCGCGACCGAGAGAGAGGCACTTGCAGTTCTGTTAGCAGTGCAAAAGTTCCGAGTCTATTTTGGAAAGGCGCCAATAACAGTGTATTCTGATCATGCGGCGGTAACTAGATTGTACTCAGGGAAAAACTTATCCCCAAGGTTAATAAGATGGGCACTCAAGCTACAAGAATATAATCTGGTAATCAAGCATACCCCGGAAAGGAAAATATCGTAGCAGATGCCCTATCCAGAATTAAAATAGATGAAGAAGGTAATACTGTAAAGGTGGCAATGCTCACAGCATGTACAATAAATTCCCGAGAAACTGTAATAACCGAACTGGGTAAGGATCCTGAGTTTGGAAGCATTTATGAGTATTTAAAGGATCCTGAAAATTTTAGCCACCAAGATATTGTGGCGATAAGAAATAGGGCGGCCCATTACGAACTAATAGATGGTCTATTATTTTATACAAAAACTACGAATTCCAACAACGAATTTCGACCTGTTATCCCAGCTAGTCTTAGATTAAATATCCTGCAGGAGCTCCATGACAGCCCTTTAGCTTCTCATGCTGGTATTCGAAAAACTATCCAACGCGTACGCGAGGCAGTCTATTTTCCTGAACTGCAAAAGTTAACAAGGGCGTATGTCCAGTCCTGCCCAACATGTCAAGCAGTTAATTATATTAATTTCCGCCCGGCCGGGTTTCTAAATAGTATTAAATCCGAATTTCCAAATGAAATAATTGGCATCGATTTATTGGGCCCTTTCCCAAAAAGTCAGTTAAATAAAAGTCGCTATCTCCTTGTTATGGTTGATCATTTTAGTAAGTGGACCGAAATTGTTCCCTTAAAACGAGCCTCCGCGAAATTAGTTACTGATTCTATTTTTAAATAAATATATTTTAAAATACGGGGCGCCCCTAAAAGTTATATCGGATAATGGTCCTCAATTTGTAAGTAATGTATTTGAAGACATGTGCCAAAAACTGGGCATACGTCATTTAAAAATGGTCCCGTATCGGCCGCAATCAAATATAGCGGAACGGGTCAATAGAAATATAGTGAAAATTATCCGTAGTTATGTTAAAAATTTTCATAAAAGCTGGGATAACTATGTCAATGAATTTGCTTTCGCCCTTAGGACCGCAAAACATGATACAACGGGCAAAACTCCTGCTGAGTTATTTTTAGGCAGAAAGATTATAACGCCGTTAGATAAATTATTTTATGTGCAACAAAGAGCCCCAGAATTTAAAATGGGTGATATAGAAAAATTAATTAAAGAAGCAAAAAAGAATACTGAAGTAGCACAGAGAAAACAGAAACTTTATTATGATTTGAAACGACGGGGAGTAACTTATAAAGTAGGGGATGAAGTGTTAAAAATTAAGCATTCACTTTCTTCAGCACCAGAAGATAAAACTGCCAAATTTTTTCCACGATTTGAAGGACCATATGTCATAGAAAAAATAACTCACGCTGTAGTGGTGTTAAAAGCCAGGAATGGTGAAACATGCTCCGCAAACATTGATCAAATCAAACCCTACTATGATCGTAATAAAATGCAAATTTTCAAAGATCTTTTGCAGGATCCGGCACGGCAGACACGGCAGGCACAAGCTCCAGAGGTGGAACAACGACAAGTACAAGGGCAAGCCATTAAGAGGCAGGAGCAAGTGAAAAGAAAGTTTCCCCGCTGGAAAATTGAAGGTAACAAGAAAAAGAAGCCGTTCCACCGTCCAAAAAAGAGAGCTCACGAACACCCCCAGAATGAAGAAGGGAGAAGTACGACGTATGCAAAGAGAAGCCAGGAGAAATGACGGCAACTATAACCCGGCTCTAAAACGGAAGATCTACCCATCCGACAGGACTCTCCGCAGCAAATGTCGCCGAACTGCGGAAGGGCCACCAGCGGCGGAGGAAAAGGTACAAGGAAAATTTGAACGGCCAGCAACGAGGTCCAAGCAGGAACGCGAAAGAAGTGTCCCGGTTCCGCCAAGACCAGCTGCCATCAAACGGCCAAGACCACAGGCAGAGGCGAAAAAGAAGGTATTCAAGGGTGACCGAACTGGAGGGAAAAAGAAAGCTTCTAGAGGAAGGCACTGAAGGGCGAGCCCGCACAAGAAGGAGGATAAATCAAACGAGAATCTGCGCTACCTTCCAGGACTGGGCTCAGAAAAGAATGTCCGAATATCACAAAGATAAGTAAAATTTTATGTTACTTTGCAAACTTAAGTTAATCTTTCATTCTTACTGCAAGTGGCAGATTTCAAGAAGTTTTACCTCATGCGAGGTCTACCTTTATCGCCAAAAAGGCGAGAAATGAGTTGTTACCGATTTTGGTATTATGTTTTTCAATTACTCGCGCGTAAAACTAAAGTTGATGTATAATAGGAATGTGTAAATACTTAAATATTGTAAAAGTTATTGTATAAATTTTATTTAAAACATTCTGGCAAGAAAGAAGTTTTAGTCTGAAAGACTTTTTGAAATGTAGTATTTCAATGTAGAAGAATTGGCACTTGCTTGAAAAGAATAGAAGTTAACAATGTACTACTAATGTATGTTTTCAAATGCGTAAAATTAACGGCATGTTAATATGTTCTTATATACAATGTGAACTGTTATTTTAAATGTTAAGAAATACGTGATATGGTAAAAGTGAAAGTAATGCAAAAAATTTTAAAACTTATTCGTGTGACTGTAAAAAGACCAAATCATGGTGAATATGTGTTAAAGGTTGAATGAATGTAGTTAGGCTCTCTGACGCTACACTTCAGAGTTAGCCACTTTCAGAATAGTACCTCAGGGTTTAGAGTTGAAGTTAGGGTGTGTTACGAGGTCTTGTTATGTTGAATTTTAACACGTTAGTGTTTTGATTGTAGGAGGCAGTGTTGAACACGTATACATAAACACATTCGTGTTTGGTGTTCTTTTACAACACATGTCAGAGAGCACGGGGAGAGATAATTAAAATAAAGTCATGAATGAAATAAGAATTTTAAGAGAAATATAAATTTATGTTTACTACTTGCCATTTCATTGTGTAACATTTCATTAAACTAGTTTTCCTTCCAGATCTCTGGAAGGAACCAGATTTGAATAAAAGCTCCTGTTTAGATGCAGTACAGATGAAAAATTGCGTTGTCCACTTGGAGCTGCTATTGTAAAAACAAATTTTTTTTTAATTTCTAGTTTCTAGTGAGAAATGTTTGTAAAAGATTGGCCTCGCGTTAGATTCTAGAGCTAAAAGTTTTCAACAAGGTCGTTTTAGACCTCAGTTTCAAACTAATTAACTCTGGCGGGAAGTATGTAAGGATCTTAAGTTTTACTAACGTTTATTTTATTTTAAATCTTTACTATCACTTCTTATTTTCTACTTCCGGCCAGAATTAAAAGCGTTAACTTATTTATGCAAAATTTGTCTGGCGAACGCCAAGTACTTAACTTGTGCTTTTTGCCAAGCGAGAGAGGTGGTGTGGCGTATTTAATTATGGCAAAGCACACTAGGGCTATCTGCCTTGGGGAGGGGATGCCTTCGTGGAGACTTTCTGAGGGAAACTGGCTCGTATACACGTTACACATGGGAAAACCACGAAAACGCCCATGCAGCCAGCCCGTTTCGCGGGATTCGAACCTCGGACTAAACTACCAGTGTTCAGCGTCTTTACCGCTCCCGCTGGTGGGCCCCGAGAGGAAGGAGTTAGTCGAAGCAGGCCGCTTACCTTAGAAGTTTTACTCAGTTGCTGGTTGCCTTCCAGGCCAGAGGTTTAATCCTCTTGATAATTTTAAACGTATTGTAGTGTTAACAGTTCTCTGTACTACATACGGCTTCCTGTTAATATAAGGCCAATCTTCCACGTAGTCCTTGTTTATTATTCCAAAGTTAAGTTAGAGTTTAGTTAAATATTTTTATATTCTTACGTTTCAGACCACAAGTAGTGGGTCTCTGTATTCCGAAGTACGGAAATTATTGTAAAGAGTGAAAAATAAAGGGTTTGTATACCCTTCCTGTGTATCCTGTCTACTTCCCACATTTATTGAACATAGCTTTAGTAAGCTCTCTGTTCCGAGTCAGGTCCTGTGCATGTTCCAAAGAAAGTAAGACGGAACATTGAACCTGATAACCTAGAGACCCAAATCGTTTTGTATGATGTAAAATTACTTAGATGTATTAAATTTAAATTAATTAAAATTTATTTTTATAATAAATTTTAAAATTTGTAATAAATTAAAATTTATTTTGACATTTTAAGGGTATTACTTTTACACTCAATTCAGATGTTTTGCATATATACGCAATGATGACTGAAGACACCATTTATCATTTCATCTCTAAAATCTTTGATTTTACATATATATAATATATATATATAGTTTATTACCTGTTAATATAGAATGACAATTTAATTATTGTTTTTAAAGTTGGTTTATACAAACGCTTTGTTGCTTTACTGAAATAGCCATGAATAAATATTAATAACAATTTTTATCATTATTAGGTCCTTTAGCATCTCTACAGTTCGTATCATTTACGGCCTTCTTGAAAAGTAATAAAACGAATCCTAAGGTAGATTTTCCAAACTATCAACTGTACTTCATAGAAATGGCAAGCCTCGGATCATTTATTGGAATTGGGTTAAGGCCAGAGGTAATGTGTACCTTTTTATATTACATATAAAAATTCTTTTTAAATAAATGAATAAATGAATTTCTCACAATGTTTAAAACCAATATTTTAAAGCATTCCTAAAAGGTGGGAACGGCATTCAGATAAAGTCTAAGAAAGAAGATGGTCTAAGAACTTTTTTTATTACTTTTTTAAAGAAGAAAAAGTAGCTACTTATAACTTGAAATTTTTCTAACTACAGAAGAAGACTTTTTTTCTATTATACATTCTATTATATTTTTTTACGCATACCATACTGTATTTTTCAAACAGAGTATTGAAAATATTTGATAGCTGGGCTTCAGTAAGACTCTATTAAGAATAAGCAATCTATTGAGTTTTTTCTATTGAGTTATCTTATTAGACCTGTATTCAACGTCTTAGGTTTTAAAACCACTGATTACAAGATGCTCACCTTAATTTAAGTTTCATTAGAGGAAATATTACATATAAGAATTCTTATAAATTAAATAAAGAGTGCTAAATTGTACCTAAATTGCTTTTATTGCAAAGCATCCGATTTAATAACAACATCATGTACATATCAAGACAGGTTTTAATATATGATAATACCAAAATTTGGTTATTGTAAGTTTAAAATATCCGAATTCTTATTAGCATACTACTATGAAATTGTGGAAAGGGCTTTTTGCGATCAGTACAATGAAATGCCAATTCAGTAGAAAGAGAGTATGCCAATATCAGCACTATGACCTCAACTGATACGCCAAAGCAAGCGAAACGTGAGGATTTAGCGCTGGCTGTACAAGGTACATTAAAAAGAAGAAAGAAGGCAGATTTTCAGACATTCTTCTGCGAATAAATGTGAGATTGTACCTGTAGTATGGTTACAAGAAAACATCAGGTCTTTACACGTGGTGAAATGATTGTAAAGCTTGAAGACGGGCCCTGTTTGACGTCTGTCGCCCACGATTTTGGAACTGATAAAAGTGCTGTTTCGTGAGCTTGGAAATCCTTTCATATGACAGGTACAGATGTAAAATAGATTGGTGGTGGTCAACTTAACAAAACAATCGTGACTGGTGACTGATACATCCCACTAACATCAGGGAAACAGAACGCTGGGGTGGTCCTGGCGTGCTCTCCCCCACGTGCGTCTTTCTCGGGATGTCATTGGTCCCAACCTTATTTTTATGAATGAAAATACATGGCCCCACAAGACTCGTGCTGTTGATGAGCTCCTGAAAAAAGAAGATATTCACAGTATGGATTGGCCAGCATGTTTCCCTGACTTATGCCCTGTTGGACATACGTCTGGTACTTTAGAAAGATGCCTGGCAGCACGATCGTACTCTCCGAAGAGCACTAACTGAAATAGATGCTTCTTGAACAGCAATTGAAACAATGATCCTTGAAGAATGGGAACTTCTACTCCAAGAACTGTTAGATGATCTGCTGTTGAGGACCGAAAGACGGTGCAAAGAAACCATTGCAGTTAGGGAAGATCACATCCTTTACTAAGGCTCTTTGGTTTGTTTTTTTTCCTCTTGACAGAATACTACATTGGGCCTTTGTAGTATGAATTTCATGTCTCCCAGTTCATTTTTTGGGAATTACGGCCAAAATCAGAAAGCTGTTTAAGATTTTTACTCTAGTATGTTTTTAAATTGTGATACTTATTGAGTTAAGCTACTCTACAGGATAGGACAGGAAAAAGTGCAAGAGGCACCACAACATCGTCATAGACAAAAATGGTATTGCCCCACTGCACTAACCTTTTCTGGCATTTATTAAGACAAAAGATTACATTTTAGGTCATTACGTTACGCAGTTGACATAATAAATTACATTAAAGTAACAAGTTATTTACATAGGAAGAACAATTATACAGATAAACTGGGCTATAGATAATCGAGGTAGAGATATATTGGTATACAGGAATCAATATGCAGATAACATGTTACAATTAATTAGTTGTTGCAGTTTGACATTTGTTGGTGTTCTTGGAGGAATACCTTAGCGTTTGGGAAGATGGATGTGATGTGAGTTATAATATAGCTACTGTACAAATAAACTGGATTCTATCAGGCCATGGTCCATTTCTTAGCTTCCTTTATAGCAGCAGCATTTCATCAACAGAAACTGCATCTGCGGTGAATTAGGAGACTATCGGCATTATCGATTCAAATGCTCATTAATAAAGTATTTCCACATTTGTCATTTACCACAAATAACTCCTAAATATATAGCCATCCTTATCAGATGAAAAAATAGAAGAAACATCATCAAAATAATGAATATAGTAGAAAATAAAGCACAGATTTATGTTACCTTGATGAAGAATTTTTCCATCTGAAGAAAAATCCCCATTTTGTCAACAGATTTTTTTTTCTTTTTTTCTTGAAGTGTTTCGCACTCATAAAGCGCCCATTAAGACATTTACAAGATCACTTTATTTTACAAGATATCTTACAAGCTATATTCAAGGTAAGTGTTTATAAAAGCAAGCATTCCATTATAAGTACAGCAGCCTCACATATACTACAAGCCTGACAAATCATACATATTTTTTTCACACAAATCTGTTCAAGCATTAATGCTGGAGAAGTATTAAATCTTGGAAAAGCACCTAAATTACAGAAAATTGCAGTCGAAGATTACGACCCCACGGTAAAGTATCATTGCCCTCCTCTGCTGTCAACTGTCAGTTATACTATATTAGGAATAAAGAAGTAATATGTTAATGATTCAGATGACGTAAGCAGATCTGATTCGCTGTTTGATTTAAAGCATCATATTTTTAATTAGACTTTCTAACTTTGAAATAGTTTGAGTTTAAATTAATTGTAGGGCATACGAAAACTATCGGAACTGGGGAAAAGACATTCCTCTGTAGGTGAGAAGGGGGAAGGAAAATTGAGCGAATCCTCATTGTTGGCGAGAGGACTATAAAATCCGCTTATTTATGAGCAAGACTCTTTAGGTGATGCTTCTTGATAATAAGTTCTGTACACAGAATGAGATACAAGACGCAATACATTAGTGGCTACTTCAGTAAGTCAGAAGAGCTTGTGTACTGAATGGAAGGATTTCTGAACTGTTGACATACGTGCATTCAACGTGGGGCAAACTGTAAGTAAGAACTGCAATTGAGAGTAAAATTTTATACTTTCAATTCTATTCGTGCTATTCTGTTGATAAAGTTAATTCAGGTAGCTTTTCGTTCTTCATATTTCTCATTCTTCCGAATTCTCTGTTTTATAGGTTTACAAACAAGTTTATGGTCCATATGCTGGGCAGTCTTTCATGTCATGTTACTCACAAATACTGCAACCTAGGAGTCGTGGAACAATAACTCTTCAATCGACCAATCCTTACGAGCCTCCTCTCATCGACCCTAACTATTTTGAAGATCCTAGAGATATGCAAGATATATTAGAAGGTAATATTTCTCTCTAGCGCATTGCTTGGTTAAATTCAAATAAATTGCTGTCTTAAAATTAAACTTTTAAGAAGAGAATTATTATAATGAAATAAAGTTTTAGAAACAAGTAGCTGTTTTAAAGAAAAATATATTTTCTGATTTATTTACTAACTGCTGTCTCAAAACATTTTATTTATTAATATGAGTACGGGTACCTCTTCGAAATCTAGGAATAACTGCATTTTGTTTACTGTTGCCATTTGTCAAGTTATATATGTAATGAAGATTTTTTTTTTTGCTTTTTTTATTTTAAAGTGTTCTGCTTTGTTACTTTCTTGTACGAAGTGAAGAACGTATTGCAATCGCGAAAAATTTCGGGTACCGTATTTCAACGAAAATATCCATTTTGACCATTCTCGATTCCATCTGAAAGATATTTCTGCGTTTCATCTCTACGTACAGTCAGAATAAAGGACTCCTTTTTCCCAAACGGATTCTGAAGTGGATTTAAAATGGATTCAGAAGAGATTTTTTCGTGACGTTTGTGCGTACGTATGTATATATCTCGCATAACTCAAAAAACAAGTAGTTTTGAAAATATAACGCTGATTTTTGTTATTTGATTTCTGAATTAGTATGAAACTTCTTGCTTACAGTGAAAGACACATGTTTTCCAATCGTACCCTGTTGTTTACTCTCAGGATCAAAGTGATGTATTCTTGTTTCATCCTTACTTTTATATCTATTCAAACGTCTTCTGGAGTCTGCTAAAACATCGTTCAAATGACTCGGAAATACTCAAAATGTTTTTGTTTTCTATGCATGCTTAAAAATTCCGGCCATTAACTGGACTGAGAGCTTTTCTCTTCGCTACTTATTTTACTCAAACTGATTTTACGCTGCCAAATGAAGTACATAATAGTCACTTGTCTCTCTTGCATCATGAAACGTTCACTTTAGCAATAATTTTCTTTCTTTTTGATGTAGATAAATTATAACAGACTGGATCATGTTACAATAATTCTTCAAATCCAACGTTATACTGCCCATTTGGCAAGTAGGAGATCTCTTAATGTGTTTTACAAATCTGCATGAATGTTTTGCACTGACATAAATAATTTAACACATCTTCAACTTACCAAATTTTCATCTTATACAGAAAGCCTTACATAGGGAGTCGCTGAATAAGAATATGCACATAAACTGAAAATTTCAAAGCACTGAGCTCAGACATTTACCGATAATTTTCAGAAAGAGTTTCATATCATCAATTTGAATAAATTATAAGCATGGATAACAGAAAAAGGGCATTTCAACGATGCAATGCCCGTTTTTATATTTCTCAGATTATGAATATTGAAAAATCAATCTTTGATGTGTAAGGTAAGGTTTTTGGAAAATATAATATGAGGAGGGAAACATGCAGTTCTATCTGACATCATTGTATTCATCTGACACCATTGTAATTATTATGACATCATTATTCATTTTCTGAAATTCTATTTTATTTTTCTTTAATGGCGTAAATATTACGAAATTCTTTTTTCTAAACTATGAAAGTATGATCAACCGTAACTGCAATATAACAGACGGTTCAACCAACTAATTAGGCATTATTTCTGAAATATCAAGATATCCAGATATCTGAAAACATTAATATAAAAATTTGAATATTAATCTGAAATTTCTCTGTTGTTCATCAGTTATTAGAGTTAACTACACGATAAACTTAACTAAATTAGATACCAAATATGAAAAGTTTGAAAAATGTTAAAAATAGTTTAGAATTTTTCTCTAGTAAATATCATTCTTGTAATAGCGCATAATGACTCCAAACAAAATTTCCCATTAAAGTATTTCTTAGACTTGATGTAAAAGTGGAGATACAATAGACTCCCTCTTAACTGGCCTAAATGGTTTCCGATTAAGTGAAATTTCGGTTAAAGCGGAGAATGAAAAAAAAATTTAATTGATTGAAATGCACGTTTTATAGTTAAAATACACATTTACTAGATGTGTTAAATTATTACAAAACTTTTACATTAGTGGGAATGTTTAAAGAATTTAGTTATTTTTTATTGCTGAATTCTGAAAATTCGGCACCTCAGTGCATAATTTCGCCATTTTTTAAAAGCATCATATCAGAGGAAGCCGATGCTTGGTTTTTCATATCGTATAAATTCATTTCCAATGTTTTTGTTCCATCTATATGTGATATGACAGAAGTCGCATTGTCATCGATGCCGACTCATCGTAAACGTAAACCACGTCAGTGACAACTTCGATGATGTCATCATCTGACTTCTTGCTTAAGATCCATGTCAGCCTTAACCATCGCTCCATGTCTTTATCATCAACATTTTGGCATCCACTAAAATGTTTGAATGATGACACAAAGTTGTTAGTAGAAAATCCTGTCTCTTCATCTGGGATGACTGCCTTTACTCCCTGGGGTTCTTTGATTTTTTACGGTGACCAAAGTTTCTGCCGATATTTATTACAGTAGATTCGGAAACCTCTGACCATGACTTAGTTATCATATAAATAAATTCTTTTATATTAATCGTTTTCAATCAAATGACGACGCTTAAATCAGAGTGAGCTTCCTCACTCAGAGCTGTCAAAAGTTTCTTCGATACTATCTCTTTAAGTTTTATATCACAACCTTGTCCATGGGTTGTAATACAGACGTTATGGTTTGATTTTGGTAGACAAATTAATTACGCCCGATTAAAGTGAAGATTCGGTTAAGCAGAAGCCGGTTAAGAGGAAGACTACTAAATATAGATGGTGAGAGATTGAACAGAGAAATGTTGCACTTTATTAGCAGTTTCTCAACCGCTGAAAAATGTAAATTCAGGACTTTTTAAAACTATAGATTGTATTTTCTCGTTAATTTTTACATTAGAATATTTCAAAATATTTTTACTCCGTCTGAATATTCATTTTAGGCAATAAGAAGCGTCTGTTAGTCTTGAAGTAAAGCTTGCATTTAAAGCTATTTAATCAATGGAGCAAATAATTGACTATAGGAAAAATTCAACAGCATTAAATAAGAAAATTATAGACTTCTTTACAAAAGAAAAAAAAAAGAAATATAGAGAGATATAGTATGAATCTTTTTTTTTTTTTTTTTTTGCTCTCTAAATTAAACACAATGGCGCATCAGCCCTAGCGGGCCATAGTCTGAATTGCCCCGATATCTGCTGACCGTAGGCTCTGGGGTGCATGAGCATATGCCCTGAACAAGTGGTAGCTTGTCGCAGGACCACCGGTGTTTAGTCCCCAAGCGAACTTGGTATTCATTTTATCGACTCACTCAAAGGATGAAAGGCTGAGTTAACCTTGACCAGCCCGGGGATCGAACCAACATGTGGACATGTGGTGCTGCTGCGCAGCGCGCTAGCCATTGCGCTGTCGGGCCCCTTTTTTAAGATATGCCGATCTAAATTTACTTTCGACATCTACCCTTTGACCGTAAAAATAGAACGAAATCCAAGCTTAGTGATAACCATAATTTTGTTCTGTCATTGGGGATTTTAATCCTTTTCGGTTAAGCCAGATTTCAGCTTCTCAAATTTGCTTAAGCTATGCTTCATTATTATGTAAGAAATAATAGCTCCAAATTTTTATTTAACTAAACAGGAATGAAAGTTTGTCGACGCCTTGGTCTGAGCGAACCAATGCGTAGAGTGGGAGCTCAGCCCTTTGCCACCTTGATTCCTGGTTGCGAGCAATACGCTGGCGACGAAGATCTTTACTTCTGGTGCCAAATGCAATCTTCAGTTACGTCATTTCATCATCCTGTGGGGACTTCGAAAATGGGAGATCCGAACGACCCCACGACGGTTGTAGATCCACAACTGAGGTGAGTAAAATTCTGCATTTTGATATCTGATAAAATTTTAATGTATCGTAGGAAATAATTATTTTGTCACTTGCGTAATGTATCTAGTATTTGAAAGCATCTAGGGAGCAATTATACATGTAAAGAATATGAGTACAGTTATCATGTACTTCAAATGCATTATCCGTGTATGTACCGTATTTCAGTAAAATATGATAAAATGTCTATATATGTTTGTCTTTTGGTAACACACAAAATTCAAAAGGAATTACATAGTAGCAAATATATTATTTCAAGCTGAATTAAATAATTTAAGTCTTCTTATTTTATCTAATAAAAGTAAATATAACTCTAATAAACTAAATATAAAACTTTGACCTATCATAATTAGATTGTTTATTTAATGCTATAGATTTAAACGCAGCAGGTATTTAGTTACTAAATATTAATGAAACTCTTAAAATATTTGACGTAAGAAACAAAATGATGTCATATTGTGCAAGACAATGTCGGATTAAATCTTTAGCGGGCCTTAGACAAATTTTAAAATTGAGGCCTTATTTATAAAGGATTTTCCAATAAGAATCATGTACAGTAAACCCTCGTTAAGATGAATCCCAAGGGACCGAAAAATCAAGAGTTTGTTTTAAAAAAATTCGTGTTAACTTAGGACTTCAAATTTATTTTTGGAACAGATTTTCTACAAATTAACCATTTACAGTATATAGTCACATACGTATTACAGGTACTATATTATGAGTGTCGTCATAGAAAACATTGCAATACTTCATTAATTAATTCTAGCGAAACATTCTCATATTGCGCAGTCACAGACAGGAATGAAAGTGCGTGTAACTTCGCGGCCAACTGTTCTCATGGCTTTCGTAATGGCCGGAATGATATTGTTCTTCTCACTTTCTTCTGATGATATTTCTTGTACATCAAGCACAACTACTTGTACATCAGATTTCAAAGGAGCACATGCTTAATCGTAAGTCTGAAGACGTTTGTTGCATTTGAGTAGAAGTAAACCTTTACATTATGTTAAAGTTCATATTAAATGAAAAAAATCTAATGATGCAGCGGACAAGAAAAAAGTTTGCAATTCATGCTAACTCGAAGTCCACGTTAACCATGAATTTCAGTTGGCACGTGATCATGTTCATCGCTGCTGGGACCGATATTTTATTCATGTTAACCGATTGTTCCCTTTACGCGAGTTCATGATGGCATAATTTTAAAATGAAATAAAAAAAAACTATTTTAGATAAAACGAAACTTTTTATATTATTTTAAAGTACAATTTATTACATTATGTTTTGAGTAAAACATCCTTTAAATGTCCACCTCGACTTAGCACACACGAGCGAATTCTATGAACACAATTTTCTATAACTGTATTAAGTGACTTCAGCCTATTGTCAAGAGCGCAGCCATCGATGTCTATTCTTAAAGCTTCAAGGTTTTATAAGTTATTCACATAGACCATTGATTTCAAATAACCCCACAAAAGTAAGTACTCTGAAAGAGTTAAATCCCAATTCTGGAAGGCCAACTAAAAGTTTCATTTTGTGAAATTATTGCAAATATATTTTGTAATACATCGATAGAAGAGGGGTTAGCAGTGTGATATGTAGCATCATCGCCTTGTTGGAGTCACATGTCCTCCAAAATTTCGCAGCAGAAAATTTGTTATCATCAATAGGTATCGCTTACCACTCATTGTAACTTCATATTCCTCTCTTTTTGGAACAAAAATGATCCGATGATTCCATTATACCATAAATTACACCACACAGTGATCATTTTGTGAATGCGAGGCAAATTTTTAATTTTCGGATTTTTATTTCAGAGAATTGATAGCTAATGTTTTTGTAATCTAGTCAATTGATTGCAAAACAATACTTCTATATATATATATTACCGTGAAAGACCGAAATTGGAGAATGTCGACTTTCACCGGAGAATATCAACATTTACCAAATACGTCGGTGAAAGACCGAATATCTCACTACATTCTTGTATATTCGGACCCTCACCGGTGTATGTCGACAATGACAGATATGCTCTAGTGAAAGTCGGAAAGAGAGGTCATAAAGTGCCATAATAGTTTAAGTTTTTAACTTACTTAATTATACAGTACTATTACTATTATTTTCCTTCTCATTTTGAATGTATTGTGTGTTTTAGGTTCTCATGTTCTTAAGTTCTTATTTCAAGTTTCAAGTGCTTTTATTCACGACAATTACGGAGAAGAAAATATAATATTGTTATATGTTCAACATTCACCATTAGTACATGGTGAATGTCGACATTGACCTGTGTAAGTCAGAAATAAGAGTATTTGGAAAATACTTCGGACATACACCAAGAGACTATGTGAATGTTGACATTAACCGGTGAAAGTCGATATTCTCCAGATTTCGGTGTTTCACCGTAACATATATATATATATATATATATATCATTATACAATGGTTGCTATAGAAAAATATAAGTCCTCTTAAAACTTTAATTATCGAAACAACCGTTTCTATTTTAGGAATCGTTTGAGTATTATTATAAAATTTAATGTCAGATACTTCTAAGGTTTCGTTTGCTATATCCTTATATTTGCCCTTTAAATCATACATGAACTGTAGCAAAATTATGCAGATCATTAAATTATGGATTTGCTTGCTGCACTCATTTATTCTTGTCAGTATTTTGTTCCAAATAACAATCATAAGAAAAAATTGCAATTTTGATAACTTTTCTTAATATATTTTCCTTTGGCTTGAATAGAATTTTGTGATTCATCTTGAGACTAATGAAGCAAGACGATTTGTATTTCACTAAATCCGTTTTGGATTGCTGTTATTGCGCTTTGATATGATAATCTAATATCACATAGTCTCTTAAAAGTCTTAAAAGGAAATGTATTTTATTTTTTGTAAATTAAAATCCAAACTTCTAACGATACCCGATGCAGGGAAAAGTATATTCATTTCTTCCTACTTAATTAAAATATATTGTAGATAACTCTGAGCAGCAATTTTTCTAATTAAATGTGCTGTGCGAGGCATATGAGGCACTGTTTCGTTAAACTACTTAATTTTGGTTTGCAGACCTATGATATTGCACACATGTGTTAATATAATGTTGACCAAGTTTGATTACTACACTGTCGTAATTTTGACATCTACAACAGTTATTATTATTTACATCTAATAAATTTAGGTGGTCCAGTAGTATGATTTCCAATGATGCACAAGTATGGGAATATATAGATAAGAAGTCAAAGAATTGCTCCATAATTGACGATTATGCTAAATATCGTAAGATTATAGTGAGCTGATTAATATACGTCAGCTGTGGAATCAAGAATTATGACATAGTATATGAATTTTTAACTTAAATTAAAAAATAAATATTCCTAATTTTCCAGTAATTATTTTAATTAACTTATTATGTATTGCTGATGATAAATAACTCACATATTACTTTCCTTTTGAGTCATATTTTTGCATGTGTGATGCTGTAAATTCGTCGAACTGCAGTAGAAACTCTAGTGTTGCGGTTCAGTTGGCGATCCGGAACCTCCATTACCACCACGAAATGCGCCCACCCAGCAGCCGAGCGGTAAAATCTCTGAACACTGGTAGTTCCGACTTGGGATAGATTCCAGGCAAACGAGCTGCCTGCATGGGCGGTTTCGTGATTTTCCCCATGTATAACGTGTATACGAACTAGTTTCCCTTAGGAAAGTCCACCATGAAGGCATCTCTGCCTTTAGGCAGATAACCCCAGTGTATTTTACCATAATCAACTAAATTAAGCCAAACTGCCACGAAATGCCGGTGAATATTTCTCTAAACACTGTATAGTTTCAATCACAGATTCCTAATTGATTGCTGAAACTGGATATCGTCATACTGTTGCGGAATAGCTAATAATTCCTGCAGTCGAAATGTTGACATCTCATATATATGGCAAAAAAGGATAACACCAGGTAAATTTGCTGTCTGTCTCCAATAACACAGTGAAGCACAGAATCATGGCTTGTTTTTTCATTTAATCATGGCAAAGTATTCGAGGGTTACCTGTCTAGGGTCAGTGCCTTCGTGGAGGACTTTCTAAGGGAAACTGGACTTTCGTGGTCTTTCTAAGGGAAACTGGCTCGTGGCATTCTATAACACAACCATCCTTTTACGTGGTGCGCTCTCTGGTAAAAATCACCGCAATCGGAAGAAATCAAATATCCTCCTTACATGCTTCATGTAAGAGGAATTAACTGCGAGTAAAAGAACGAGTAAAAGTGTGTATTTTATTTCACATTTACTTTTCGTCTCACCAAGTTGCATAAGTGAACTAACATAGTTTCTGATTATGGAAATAATTTGAAAGTTTAAAATGAAGTATAGAAATTTATTTATCCTGATGTGAGACGTTTTAACAAAGAAACTATAAATTATTAGTTTAGTATAAAAATTTGAGCTATTTTTAAGAGCTGCAATCGAATGCAATTGAATAACCACTTATCACAGAAAACTGTGCAGGTAATAATGTTGAGAGATGGAATGAAATTTAGCAGAGCTAACCGGATTTCACATTATGCAGCTATCGATGTTGATTTTACCATCTTCACAGCTAAATGCTCATTATACTCAGGTGAACAGTACAGTTGTAAGCCAAACACACTGAGAATTTGATACGTTCAAAGTGAGAAAAAAAGCGTATGCAGAATATTCTGCTCTTGACTGACAGAATCTGCTAATTTATCACTCAAAATATTCTGAACCTTTTCATTTTAAATCTAGCCAAATTAAATCAAAAATTGCATGATTTGTTTTCATTTTTTTGATATTATCAATTGTCTGAGTTATAAGTGAAACAATCGGGGTCAAAGTGTTTAAGTTTTTAACACTATTATAACCATGAACTGAAGTGTAAAAAAATGGAAATATATTCAAAACTAGTATATTTAAACACTAAATATCTTACTCCATTCGTTATCTAATTCATTTGGTTACGTAATGCAATAAAATAGTGGTTCGACATTTTTTGGTTTTCAATTTTTTATAAATCTGTTCATATAACTAATGCAATCAATTTTATCAGACTATTTCTTCTGAACAAAGTAATCGCCTCTTCATTGCATAATAATAAATAATTGAATAATAGCAGGTCACGAATAATTTGCTATTCTTTTATTAAATTTGTTACTACATTTTAGTACATGTACACGAATAATATGATTATTATCTTTAATTTTCAGCCATTTAGAGACGAAATTGGCACATCAGTTACCTCACTGTTATATTTTTGAATAATGATTTTTAAATACCTTCCTAGGGTCAAGCACGTCAAAGGATTACGGGTTGTTGATGCCTCTATTATGCCCACGATAACATCTGGGAATATTAACGTTCCAACTATAATGATAGCTGAGAAAGCATCCGATATGATCAAAAGCACCATAAATTGTGAAAAGCATCCTACGAGTGAATGGAGCTCATCTGAACAACCAACCGGGTACGAAGATGAACTCCCAGCGTTTCCTCTGAGCTCACAGGATCATTCGTCAGTCGAAGAAAGCACTGACTGGAATAATAATTTCTCAGGCCAAGAACAAGATCATGCTCCTTTGGATACATTTAAAACACAAAAAATAAAGTTGCAAACAAAAGCTCCACTCCAGTTACCAGACAATAAAATAACTCCTGCAGTCGTTCCCTGGAATGAGGAAATTTCTCCAAATTTAAATCTGAACCAATTTATTAGTACAGCAAACGGAAATAACTTATTAATCGAGGACCAGAAATTTCTTAATCCTTTTGAGAATGATGATGTGCAAGGACACGTACGGAAAGTTATAACTAAAGTTATTCCTTGGAACAGAGAAGTTCTTCCAACTCGGATCACAAACCAAGCTAATTCTCCATTTTTACCAAGTCATAACCAGAACCTCTTAATAGTTGCTATGAATGACACTAGTGAACAAACGCTTTTTATGTCAGATGCTAACCAAGGAATGATTTCTGGAGGAATTAATGGGAGACAGCAAAGGCTTTCTACAGCTAATCAAAACCAACAGATGCTGGCTGAAATTAATGAAAACAAACAGACATGCCCTTTACAGCAAATGTGAGTCAACAAAGTATTTCTACAGTAAGCGCAAATCAACAGACGCTACCGTCATTTAACGGAAATCAACAAACTCTACCTAGACTTATTGGAAATAACCAGCAAATGCTATCCACACTTAACGATAATCAACAAATATACCTGTACGACTGTCTGGATTTCAAAGAGTTAAATATAATATAGAGTTGTAATACGCCGCGTTTCAAAAAGAATACACAAAGTGTTATTTTGTCCAAACTATCGATCACTGCCTCTCGGATCGGCTATTGGCAAAAGAATACATAGTATAGTTTATATTAGTAGCCTCTAGATGTCAGTTATCTTCTGTTTTGCCTGATAACCCTCACATGTTTAAAATAGCTACTCAGAAGCAAAAATCATTGAATGTTTTCGAGTTTGACACCCTGTGATGTCTTCCAGTGGGGTTTCATTAAAGACAACTTTTATGTACCACCACTCCCACAGACCCTGGAAGAGCTGAAGAACCGGATCCGTACTGTTATAACATCAGTGACAACGGGCATGCTTCCCCGAGTATGGGAGGAATTTGAGTATTCATGTGATATTTTTCGTGTCGCTGATGGAGGACATATTGAACATCTGTAATTGAACTTGAGAGGTCATAATAGGTGTAAAGTTTCATATTCGACGTCATACAGTTTAATAAATATATGCATTCAAAATACGTATATTTTTGAAACACGTTGTATTTGGTGGCAACAATTTGAAAAGTGAACTGACATTTCAACGCGAAATGCCAAAACGAAAATAATAATCCTTCTGGTCAAAATGACCTTTTGCACTTATAATAATAACAGTAATGTTAATAATGTAATAAAAGCTTAGTGGCAAAGCATTCAGGAACTCAAATTATTAAGTTGTTTTAACAGAGCTCACCACTCGAAATTTAAATAAATCCCGCGTCTTTGCAAGTCGAAAATTGGAAAAATTCTTTTATTCAACTTGGTTCATAAAATATATTTTTATTTATTACATAATATTAAATTTATTGTATCAGGATTTTCTCCCAGTTTTACGTTTTTATGTTTCAGATTTTAGAAACCTGAGCAAGAAATATTAATACCAATTTCTTTTAAGAAGGTTGCTATTCGGGAAATAGAAAAGGATGCATCAAAAACTCTGAAGCCAAAATTCTTCCGTTTGCTGTATAATCAACATTGAAAGTAATTTTTGAAAATTAAAATTCCATCAAAAATGCTATAGTATCTGTACAATAGATTCAAAGAAAGAGTTCTAGAATGAACAATGTAGAAAGAAACAATCAGAATGGAAAATATGAGATTTAGCAATTGGCTTTAAATCTGTAGGTATACTAAATAGGAAAAATTACAAAATGCATGATGTCATAAAACAGAAGCAAATCTTATGTATCCTGATTTATCTTAAAAATTCAGGTAGTGTACAGCCTTCGATTACAGTTAATTTTTTTTTAAAAAATTCGATAAATGTGAGAATGAAGTGGTATGGGTATCATCTTTGAGGCGAGTGAGCGCCATTTTGTTAGATAATATAATTAATATTTATTTTCCAATACAAGTTAATAACTCCATTAAGATGTGTCTCTAATACATACATAAAT